TATTGTTTAGAATGGCTGTATCATGTTCCACCAATAGTAGATGTACCAAAATGTACTTAACCAGGCATTTGAACGATAGTTTGGTATTAGGAACATTTTGTGATCAGAGGCTGAAGGTTTATAGTTTGACAATGCCCTCTGTGTGATTCTAATGCACACACCTCTGTGTGTAGCCACTGTTCAGTTCTACTACTTGGAACATGTATTTTAATTTTTTTTTATATAAACCATATTTGAGAATATTTTCTCATTACAGTACTGTATTTGTTGAAAAGTGGAACAATTTTATATGTTCAAAGCAATTCTCTCTTTTTCAGGCGAATCTGTGAAGTAATTAATGAAGCAGTATGGAAGCATAATATTATTTATGTCTCAAGTGCTGGAAATAATGGTCCATGCCTTTCTACAGTAGGTTGTCCAGGTGGAACTACTTCAAGTGTGATAGGTTAGTTCCCTGTTTTAGAAATAAATTTGTTTAAAAAACAAGCAAACAAACCAAAACAGTTAATCAAACATTAATTGAATTTCTACTATATGCCACACACTGTGGACCTTAGGTATGTCCTCAGGAAACTTAAAATCTAGTAAGGGAGCTAAGTTATCTAGAATTTAATTTAAAGTAGAGTGTAATAAGTGGTTTAATAGAAGTACAGATGAAGTGCTGTGGAATCACAAAAGCACAATTATTTCTGATTTGAAAATTGAGATAAGACTATGGAAGAGGTGTAGGAATGAGGAAGTCAATAGGTAGAGCAAGGGAGGAGCTTTCCACATTAAGTGAACAACAGTACTCAATATTACATTCTTATTCTCCAATTCACTGAAAATTTTATGCTGCATTTTACAAAATAATTTCAATTTTGTGTGGCAGCATTCTTAGCCTAAATCCACTTAACTCAGAAATGGTTCATTTAGTTTTCTACTCTGAATATATGTATGTCGTAAAGAAGCATTTGCAATTAGGAGCTCATAGACTTGGACTTTAAGTCTTGTCTCTTCCAGTCATTGTGTGTTTAGTAAATTTTTCAGCTTCTCTGAGCACTGTTGCCAAATTTCTAAAATGAAGGGACTGAGTTTAATCTCTATACTTGCTGATTTTTTAATCTTTCTAACTAGTGTCTGCATTTGCATGTTTATCTAGAATACTGTCTCCTGTTATGTCCTAGTTTATTATTTGCTCATTAAATTATAGCCTTTTTTTTTTAAGGATAGGGTTACTGCCTACTTTTTTTGTTTTTTTTTAAACTCCATGGAACTTTATGGGAAGAATCTTGGATACAATGATCATTTAAAAATGAAGACCAGTCAGCTAATTCCTTTATTTTTCCAAAGTTAAAGTTACATTTTACAGTTTAAAGCACACTCTTTTCTTTTTCTTTTGCACATACATACATGTTTAGGTACGTTATTATATTTAATCCACATAAGAATCCTGGAAGATAAATATTTTACTTTCAGAAGTAAAGCACCTAGTACGATGTCTGGTACATAGTAAACATTCCTTTGTTAGTATGTTTTCTTATTGTTCCATTTTACAAAAGAGAGAACTGAGGCGTGGGAAAATTAAGTGATTTACCTAAGGTCACACAGCTAAGGGAACAGTGGGTTTAGAATTAGGATCCATATTTTGCTTCCTTTTGTTAAATGATGAAATCCGTTCCACAGGTGTTGGTGCTTATGTTTCTCCTGATATGATGGTTGCTGAATATTCTCTGAGAGAGAAATTACCTGCAAATCAATATACTTGGTCTTCTAGAGGCCCTAGGTAGGTTGAATGGAGTACGCGAGAGTATTATATATATTTAGTTAAACTTTTGACATGATTGGGTGGGGCAGAGTTTTAGATAACTTTACCAGTTCTTTCTGTTGGTGTTTTAGTTGAGTATTTTCATTTTGATTAACATTTTTACCTCAGGGCAACAGATATTGCAGAAATTAAATACAGTTATTTTATTGTTAGATGTATGATATAACTATTTAGAGAAAATTGTTACTCCTGTATATCCATAAGGTTTCATTTAGGAGGTCTAAATTAAAAATTAAGGACTTGGTTATCTTTAGAAAGTAGTGGAGGCTTATGGTGAAACCTTTTGCTCTCCTAAGCTTTTGTGAAGTATCACAGTTACAGGGCCTATATACCTGTGTTCATGTTTTGAAGTTATAACCTACTGTGAATGATCTTGAGTGAGATCCATGAGTAGACAAGTTCAGTTTGTTAAGTTCATCTATA